GTTTCTTTGTGTTGTTAGAACTCACTCTGTAGACCAGGCTGGCCTTGAACTCACAGAGATCTGCCTGTCTCTGCCTCCCGAGTGCTGGGATTAAAGGTGTGCACCACCAGTGCCTGGCAATAATGTATTTCATTTAGACTAATATCCTCTTCTCTGCCTGATTTCTGTCTTCCTCACTGCTTTTGTCTTTTCCACTTTCATTTTGACTTTTTTCTTCATTCTGACACATGGGACAGGAAAGTTGTGATGTTTTTCATTCTCATACTGGACAAGTGACTTACCATAGCAATGCCTGGTTCATCTACTTTCTTGAAAGATTTGTTTTCTGTTATTTGTTTGAATATAGCTATATACAAGTGTGTATGTACACTGGCCTGCTGTTGCTGGCATGACTAATACTAAAGAGGACTATTCAATAAAATATTTTTCCTGTTTTCACATGCTAATGTTATAAATTCAGTAGTGTTTATCTGGAGCCATCATAGTTCTAGGGTTAGGGTTTGTAATGTTTGCCATACTGGTCTCCATGATGTGTGAATTAATTTGAATTCTCAACAGTCGTGTATACACATTCCTCTAGCTTTGGATTTAAAAGATCACCAGAGGAGGCATATGGGATGATTTGGAGGAAGGAAAGAGAAAGGGGAAACCTGCAGAGATGACTAAACCAAACTAGTGGGAACTCATGAAAGTTGGATCAATTGCTATGGCTCCTGCATTGGACTGGACTAGGCCCTCTGCATAGCAAGACAATTGTGTAGCTTGATCTGCTTGGGGGTCCTCCTGGTTGTAGGATCAGAACCCATCCCTGGTGAATAAGTGGGCTTTTTGGAGCCCACTACCTATGATGGGATACCTTGTGCAGCCTTAAGGCAGGGGGAGGGGCTTGGACTTGCCTCTACTGGATGTGTCTCCCCATGGGAGGCCTTGCCTTCTTGTGGGAGGGTGTGGGGGCTGGGTTGGGAGGGGAAGGCTGGGGAGTGGGAGAAGGAAAGAGGTGGATCATTTATTAGTGTGTAAAATGAATGAAAACATTTTCTTAATTTAAAAAAAGCAAAATAAATAAAATTTTAAAAATGATTTCTTTGACCTCATCTAATTCATTCCCAGAATTTCCAATTTATGTTGTGTAAATGACGTGTCTACTTCTTTTATTTCTCATTTACTGATTGGATTACTGGTTCTTTTGGTTAACTTGTTAGAGTCCATATTATATTCTGAATATCAATTCTCCACGACATTATTAGTTGCCAAGAATTTATTTCCATTCTTCATGTGTTAGTTCATTCATTGACAATTAACATTGTCACCCAAAGGATTTTCATATTATTGTGAAATCATCTCTCAACGTATTTTAATTCCTAAGCTATTGGAATTCTTCACAGTGTGTGTTTATTTATGAATAAATATTGAACAGCTTCTCTTCTTTTCATGTAGTATTTTCAACATTCATGGTTTTGGTGATGATCTCTCATTTGAGGTCTATATCAGTTTGTGCTTGGTTTGCTTCCAAGATGTGAGACAGGGAACTCTAGATTCCTCCTTCCACTGGGAAATCTTGTTGAACATTTCCAATTTTTTAGAACATATATGTTCTAAAAATAGTTTAAGTATATTTTACACGTTTATGCTTCTCTCCAGGTCCCACCAAGCCCCTGCAGTGCCACAACCCACATATAAAATAATCACTCAGATGCTTATATTACTTATAAACTGCATGGCTGTGGCAGGCTTCTTGCTAACTGTTCTTATATCTTAAATTAACCCATTTCTATTAATTTATAAGTTGCCACGTGGCTCGTGGCTTACCAGTACCTTACATCTTGCTTGTCATGGTGGCAGCTGGCTGCTTTCCCCCCTGTCTTTCTGTTTCCTCTTTTCTCCTCTCTGTTAGTCCTGTCTATACTTCTGACCTGGCCACTGGCCAATCAGTGTTTATTTATACAGAGCGATATCCACAGCATGTGTGTGTGTGTGTGTGTGTGTGTGTGTGTGTGTGTTTGTGTGTGTGTGTGTTTGAGTGTATACTGTATGTATATAGGAGTGTATGGAGGCCAGAAAGGGCATCATATCCCCTGGAAGTAGAGTTATAGGTAGTTGTGACATAGTACTCATATACATGGCAAGGACGATGTTCATGTGCAGCCAAAAGACACATCTGTACTACATGTCCTCTATCATAATATTTTGCATACTCTTTATTTATAATTTATTTAATTTTTCATCACCCCCTCCCCATTCTTGACAACTGCAGCCTTTCTATTTACTTCTCTCCCTCTATTTAGTCTCTCCTTTCCTTTCTTTTTATTTTGTTAGCCACCATGTAGGAAGTCACAACTGCAGTGTACTTTTGCTTGAAGTGGGCACTTCATTGCACAAATTTGTATCCCATCCTGTTTTTTACTTCCTTCAGTCCCCTCAGTTCTTTTATTCACACTTCTGCAATGTCCATGATATTATGAAAGTGTTTTATATACATATGTCATTTGGGGCTAAGAATACAGCAGTGACTTATTTCTCAGTACTTAACCAGTTATGAGATTTCAGTTTGAATATCAACCACAAGGAAGAGAGACTTCTATTATGAAGACCAAGGCTTTCACTGGGTTGTGGGTTTAAACATATATAACTTGGAAAATAGTTTAAGTATATTTTACACCTTTGTCAAAATATCAGTATGAGATTTCCTTAACGTTTCTGTAGACTCCCTATACATTGGCTTTTGACCACTTTTAAAGTGCCAGGCCAGTACTTCCGTCCATGGAGTGTTCCTCAAATCCAATGAGAAAGTGGTTGATTATGCCCAGATCATTCTTGCCAATATTTCACCAGTTTGCTTGTTTTGACAGGTATATGTTTGAGAACATCTTGTAGTCAAAGTTTGTCATAAGTTCATACTAACCCTCAATCTTATGCGTGGAGGCAGGGTCTCTCACTTAACACAAACTCAACATTTCAGCTAGTGTGGCTTTCTAGCTGACTCTCAGAAATCCATGGAACATTCTTTAACATATATTCCCCCAATAGACTACAAACTGACTATTAACAGATACTGAAAATAAAATATTTTTTTATATTCTATATGACCTGCAGGTAACTATGGAATTTGTCTGGCACAGCTGCCTTGACAGGCATGTGTTGTATGTATTTCAGGTTAGAGTCCATAGCTGCTTGGGCACAATGTGTCTTCCATCTCTGGAGAGACAGACACACTTCCTTAGGCACTGTAGCATTCAGATCACTTTGTGATTCTCTGTATGTTCCTTCAGAAGTCAATAACACATGGAAACTTGACAGGACAATTAGTCTTAGACATTAATCTTGTGTAGCCTGAATAACTTGCAAAGGTCATTGTATCCTGACAACAAAAACTGTGTTGTAATTGCCATTATATTCTGTTGCTAATAAAGTTCTGATTGCTCTCAATAAAATTGTCACAGCCTCAGTCATGCTCAGTTCTCTCCCATTGGCCTGGATTAATTCCTCTTGTCCATATAAGGTAATGTTGTCCTGGCTAGTAAGTATAGGCACTTAGAAATGGTGCCAGGATCAGGGATGTAAAATATGGGGATTTAAGATAAATATAAAAAAAAGTTAAAGACAAGAAACTCCTAGGAATACAGTACGCACAAGTAAATTTAAGGTACCAGCATTCACTGGGGATAAAATGATAGGACAGGCAAGGTTGAAAGAGTGACAGTTGTTTGCAGAAGTTCTCTGAACTTTGTTGCTGGAGGAAGGAGTTAAATCAAGACACCATCAGTTGATTATGGTGATACTTTATTTTGTAGATGTAACCAACTGTCTTATTAAATAAGAAACACAGAACCAATGCAAAGAAGAAAGCCAAGAGGTCAGAGTTAAGAGCTAAAACCTTACCCCTCCTCCTGCAGTGGTCCTACCTCTCCGAAAGAGAGCTACTTCCTGTGTTAAAGACTTTATAAAGACTTTTGGTTCTGCCTTGTCATTGGATACAAACCCAACCACATGACCGCCTTGTCTCTGCCTGTCTGTACAGACCTTCAGGCCCTCCATAGCCAGTATTGAGATCAAAGGCACGTGTCTGCAATGCTGGCTGTATCCCTGAACACACAGAGATCTACCTAGCTCTGCCTACCAAGTGCTGGGATTAAAGGCGTGCACCACCACTGCCCTGCTTTCATATGGCTTACTAATAGCTTTGATCCCCAGGCAACTTTATTTATTAACATACAAATAACATTTTAGTACAAAATAAAATATCACCATATTTCCCCTTTTCTATTTTAATAAAAAGAAAAAAGGAAAGAGCTTATAACTAACATAAGAAAAACTATATACAAAAGTACAATAACTATATACAATATATACAACTAATAAATACCTAAACAATGTCTAGTCTATTTGTATTTGACAAATTCAGAGAAAATAATTGTATCTAATTCACTTTCTATCCTAATTAATCTTCAACTATAACTAACTAATCTTCAACTCCCTCAGAGACTCAAGAAGGAAATAATATTAGCTAACAAAAGTAAAAACATGAAGTACATGCAAGCAACTTCCAAAAAATTGTGAGTTGACAGAAACAGCCAGCTGCCTGGACAGTCATCTGAGGTTTCTCCACAGTGTTGGGACATCATCTTCAGCCTATAGGCTTAGCATATCTGACAGACTCATTTGTGAAGTAGGATGTACACAAGGTCAACAATTCAACCTCACATTGGGTGAGAGCAGTCCATGTACCAGAAACACCTGAATTCCACTAGTGTCATGTCATGATTCAGGATTTTAAATTCTGGAAATTGTTGATGTTTTTTTTAATTCTGCTGTCCATTCTTCTTGGCTATGTGTGTATGTGGCTTCATCTCAGCATCCCATTCTTCTCCACATCCCTCTATTAAATTCCAGTCTACTATTGAGAGGCGTGAGCTTAGTTACTCTTCAAGAATAACTGTTTCAGCTGTACCTGTGGGAGACACCCTCTCACAAATGGTTTGTTTATAGTATCTTTTGTAAAATCAATTGAAGACCTCCAGTGATTCTTCTTTTCCTAAAACAATATCATAAGAGTCCATGCATTTTTCTAAAAGCTCATCTACTCTGTCATTCAGATATCCAATTTTCAGAATGTGTTCAACGTTGGCTATGCCATCTGCCATCCTCAAGTCTCCCTGGGAGTCCCCCAGAAGAATGATGTTGCTGTTGTTTTTCAGCTGGCTGAAATAGTCTGTATTCTTCAAGGCACCATCGTGTTTGTTGAACACATGAATTAGTTCTCCTTTGAATCCTTTCAGCACTCCATTTTCATCAAAATCCATGAAGTTGGATACTACTTTGACATTTGAATGATAAACTCCAGCTTGATGTATAACTTCTTCAAGCACGTCACCGATAACAGCCGAAAATATGAACACAGGGATGCTGTGCTGTTGAAGTTTACCAAAGAAATTCTCATATCCTTCCTTGAGCATGACATCAGAGTCTGCCACAATCTCTTTAAGTTTGATTTTTGGTATGCCTTGTTCAACAAGCAAAACCATGTGGTTTAGTATACCACTCTACCATGTAAGTGAACTTCTCTTCCACAGTGAGGTAAGGATCAACTTCAATAGTGCAATACCACTCTTTCAGCTGCAATAACTTTCTACAACATTTGTCTGTAACAAGTTTACAGTTGTCAATGATATTATGATATGTTGGGCATCTTTTTCCATTGTAAGAAAACCTACTTAGTGTCATATCAAAGTCTATTATTATCTGGAGTTTGGCAGCTCCTCCTTTAATGAGACCACAGATAATTTCTTCTACTCTTGTAGGGTTCTTGATGCGAACTGAGCTATTCTGGAATTCTGGCATCATCTCAATGATCTTGGTCTTGTGGCTCGTGTTTCTCTTCAAGGTGAATATGTACTGGGCCAGCACCATGCCCGCCACCACCGTGCACACGCTGGTGCTCGCCACCGCACCCAAGACCCACGGTTATATCTACAGTTGATGAAATTCCTGGAGTTCATTAGTGAACTTCATCCTTTCCCTGGAGAGGGATTTCTGAATCCCAGAACCTAGTCCAGTTTACAAAGAGCAATTCAGAGAGAATTAGATGCAAAAGGACTAGAAATAGTTCTTGATGATGCTTTTCAGCTTTGGAAAGAAACAAAAACTGAAATAAATAAAATGATACAGTTACAATTAAAAGTGAAAATGAGAGTGGCGAGGAGGCAGGCCCCCGGCGGCCGGGCCGTGGAGTCCCGGGCGGTCGCCAAGAGGGTTAACCCAGAGTCGGGCGGCGCGGCGAGCAGAGCCAGCCCCGCGGCCGGCTTATTGGGCCAGCGCGCGGAGAGACAGGGGTCTGCAGCAAATCACGAACTAATTGATTAAGGCGAGCGGGTTTGAATAGCGCTGGCCCGGTGCCAATCGCCTTTCAAAGAGCCCCTCTATGATTAATCGCAATGCATTATTGATAATCATAATTATAGCAGGACACATGCGCGCTGTGCCCGGGGCCGGGGAGCCGGGGAGGGGGCGGGCGGGCCGGCGGGCGGGGGGAGCCGCCGCCGCCGCCGCTCGATTTCCGTAATTTTGAGAAGATTTTTTTTAGTAATTTTTTATTCTGCCCCAGCTGATGTTTGAGCCAGCATGTCGCGGAGGAAGCAAGCGAAGCCTCAACATTTCCAATCCGACCCCGAAGTGGCCTCGCTCCCCCGGCGAGATGGGGACACAGAGAAGGGTCAACCAAGTCGCCCCACTAAGAGCAAGGATGCCCATGTCTGTGGCCGGTGCTGCGCTGAATTCTTTGAATTATCAGATCTTCTGCTCCACAAAAAGAACTGCACTAAGAATCAATTAGTTCTGATCGTCAATGAAAGTCCAGCCTCCCCACCCAAAGCCTTCCCTCCTGACCCGTCTCTCAATAATCCTGATGAGCAAATGAAAGACGCAGTGAACAAAACAGACCAAGAAGATTGCAGCGACCTTTCAGAACACAAGGGACTTGACAGGGAAGAGTCCATGGAGGTGGAGGCCACAGTTGCCACCACTAGCACCAGCAGCAGCAGCAGCGATACGTTGAGCAGCATCACCAACAGCACCACCCCAAGCTGCCACGGCGGCTCCTCCATGGGTACCTCAGCGATCACAACCTCTCTACCTCAACTCGGGGACCTGACGACACTGGGCAACTTCTCGGTGATCAACAGCAACGTCATCATCGAGAATCTCCAGAGCACCAAGGTGGCAGTGGCCCAGTTCTCCCAGGAAGCGAGGTGTGGGGGGGCCTCCGGAGGCAAGCTGGCCATCCCAGCCCTCATGGAACAGCTCCTAGCCCTGCAGCAGCAGCAGATCCACCAGCTGCAACTCATAGAGCAGATTCGTCACCAAATACTGCTGTTGGCTTCTCAGAACGCAGACCTGCCAACATCCTCTAGTCCTTCTCAAGGTACTTTACGAACATCTGCCAACCCCTTGTCCACACTAAGTTCCCATTTATCTCAGCAGCTGGCGGCGGCAGCTGGATTAGCACAGAGCCTTGCTAGCCAATCTGCCAGCATCAGCGGTGTGAAACAGCTCCCCCCAGTCCAGCTACCTCAGAGCAGCTCCGGCACCATCGTCCCGCCCAGTAGTGGCACTTCTCCCAACATGAGCCTAGTGACGGCGGCCGTTCCCACCCCATCCTCAGACAAAGTGGCTTCCAGTGCTGGTGCCTCCCACGTCAGCTCCCCCTCAGTATCATCGCCACCAGCATTCGCAATAAGCAGTCTGTTAAGTCCTGCATCTAACCCACTTCTACCTCAGCCGACCCCAGCTAACGCTGTTTTCCCCAGCCCTTTGCCCAACGTTGGAACAACTGCAGAGGATTTAAACTCCCTGTCTGCCTTGGCCCAGCAAAGAAAAAGCAAGCCACCAAATGTCACTGCCTTTGAAGCAAAAAGTACTTCAGATGAGGCATTCTTTAAACACAAGTGCAGGTTCTGTGCGAAGGTCTTCGGGAGTGACAGTGCCTTGCAGATCCACTTGCGCTCCCATACGGGAGAGAGGCCGTTCAAGTGCAACATCTGTGGGAACAGGTTCTCTACCAAGGGAAACCTGAAGGTCCACTTCCAACGCCACAAAGAGAAGTACCCCCACATCCAGATGAACCCCTACCCTGTACCGGAGCACTTGGACAACATCCCCACGAGCACCGGCATCCCCTATGGCATGTCCATCCCCCCGGAGAAGCCAGTCACCAGCTGGCTAGACACTAAGCCGGTCCTGCCCACTCTGACCACTTCCGTCGGCCTTCCATTACCCCCAACGCTCCCAAGCCTCACACCCTTCATCAAGACGGAAGAGCCAGCCCCCATCCCTATTAGCCATTCCGCTGCCAGCCCCCAAGGCTCAGTCAAAAGTGACTCTGGGGCCCCTGATTTGGCCACAAGAAACCCAAGTGGGCTCCCGGAGGAAGCTGAAGGGTCTGTTGTGCCACCCTTCAGTGGAAGGAGTGAAGAGACTGGCGTGACCACCGGCTCAGTCCCCACAGCGGGCAGCAGTGCTCTGAGTTCCCCAGGGGCTGACTGTGGCCCAGGAGGGGCCACCTTCACCAACCCTTTGTTGCCACTCATGTCTGAGCAGTTCAAGGCCAAGTTTCCTTTCGGGGGACTCTTAGATTCAGCCCAGGCCTCGGAGACATCCAAGCTGCAGCAACTGGTAGAGAACATTGACAAGAAAGCCACTGACCCCAATGAGTGTATCATCTGCCACCGGGTTCTCAGCTGCCAGAGCGCCTTGAAAATGCACTACCGGACGCACACTGGGGAGAGGCCCTCCAAGTGTAAGATCTGTGGCCGGGCTTTCACCACTAAAGGGAACCTTAAGACCCACTACAGTGTCCACCGGGCTATGCCCCCACTCAGAGTCCAGCATTCCTGCCCAATCTGCCAGAAGAAGTTCACGAATGCGGTGGTCCTTCAGCAGCACATCCGAATGCACATGGGAGGCCAGATCCCTAACACCCCAGTCCCTGACAACTACCCCGAGTCCATGGAGTCTGACACGGGCTCCTTTGATGAGAAAAATTTTGATGACTTAGACAACTTCTCGGATGAGAACATGGAAGATTGTCCTGAGGGCAGCATCCCGGATACACCCAAGTCAGCTGACGCGTCCCAAGACAGTCTGTCATCTTCGCCTCTGCCCCTTGAGATCTCGAGCATCGCGGCTTTGGAAAATCAGATGAAGATGATCAATGCTGGCCTGGCAGAGCAACTGCAGGCCAGCCTAAAGTCGGTGGAGAATGGGTCCGTGGAAGGGGACGTGCTGACCAACGACTCGTCCTCAGTGGGTGGCGATATGGAGAGCCAGAGTGCCGGCAGCCCCGCCATCTCAGAGTCTACCTCTTCCATGCAGGCTCTGTCCCCATCCAACAGCACCCAAGAATTTCACAAGTCGCCCAGCGTCGAGGAGAAGCCACAGAGAGTGGGGCCTGGCGAGTTTGCCAATGGTCTGTCTCCCACCCCAGTGAATGGGGGTGCTTTGGACTTGACCTCTAGTCATGCAGAGAAAATCATCAAAGAAGATGCTCTGGGAATCCTCTTCCCTTTCCGAGACCGGGGTAAATTTAAAAACACTGCTTGCGACATTTGTGGTAAAACCTTTGCTTGTCAGAGTGCCTTGGACATTCACTACAGAAGTCATACCAAAGAGAGACCGTTCATTTGCACAGTTTGCAATCGTGGCTTTTCCACAAAGGGTAATTTGAAGCAGCACATGTTGACACATCAGATGCGAGATCTGCCATCACAGCTCTTTGAGCCCAGTTCCAACCTCGGCCCCAATCAGCACTCTGCGGTGATTCCCGCCAACTCATTGTCATCTCTCATCAAAACGGAGGTCAACGGCTTTGTGCACGTTTCTCCTCAGGACAGTAAGGATGCCCCCACCAGTCATGTCCCTTCGGGGCCTCTGTCATCCTCTTCAACATCCCCAGTTCTGCTCCCAGCTCTGCCCCGGAGAACTCCCAAACAGCACTATTGTAACACATGTGGTAAAACCTTCTCCTCCTCGAGCGCGCTGCAGATCCATGAGAGAACTCACACTGGAGAGAAACCCTTTGCTTGCACTATCTGTGGAAGAGCGTTCACAACAAAAGGCAATCTGAAGGTCCACATGGGCACGCACATGTGGAACAGCACCCCTGCACGCCGGGGCCGGCGGCTCTCCGTGGATGGCCCCATGACATTTCTAGGAGGCAATCCTGTCAAGTTCCCAGAAATGTTCCAGAAGGATCTGGCGGCGAGGTCAGGAAGTGGGGATCCGTCCAGTTTTTGGAACCAGTACACAGCAGCACTGTCCAACGGGTTGGCCATGAAGGCCAACAAGATCTCTGTCATTCAGAATGGTGGCATCCCTCCAATTCCTGGAAGCCTGGGCAGCGGGAGCAGCTCACCTATCAGTGGGCTGACAGGGAACGTGGAAAAGCTGGGGAATTCCGAACCCAGTGCTCCTCTGGCAGGCCTGGAGAAAATGGCGAGCAGTGAGAACGGAACCAACTTCCGCTTCACCCGCTTCGTGGAGGACAGCAAAGAGATAGTCACCAGCTAAAGCTGCCAGAGCATTTCCACTCAGAATGCCGCCCGAGGTTGCCTCCTGCCCCAGCCAGCCCCTTACCTTCTGGCCCCTGGGACTATGAACTACATTATGAAGACATTCTTTTGTACTTTGTTCAACCCCTAGAGTTCTAAGAAAGCTTATTTATTAGTGCTATAACCTTGCTTTGCAAACAGAATGCAAGCATTAACTTTGGTCTTCTGTATTTTGGACTAAATACTAATGGACTAGAGTGCTGTAAGCTTGCTGTAACATTTATGGCAATCGCAAGTTGCCCTGCTAGGCGTCTTAATCTGGCATTAACTTATTTTCTATATCCAGTTTAATATGAATCTGGTGTTGATGCAATGCCTCCGTGATGCGTTAGATCCCTAATAAAG